CCACTGTTGTGTTGCCTTGACCTTTGTCATTCTAGCCCACTGTTGTGTTGCCTTGACCCTTGTCATTCTAATCCACTTTTGTGTTGCCTTGACCCTTGTCATTCTAGCCCACTGTTGTGTTGTCTTGTCTTGGTGATAGGAGTTGGAAACACAACACCTATAGACAACAGGAATATCACTTGAAGACCATCCTTCCTTCCAATGAATAAACATAAATATTTCCCAAGCCAAACTATTCCATGTTTCACTGGCTTTCCCGGAAATGTGGGAGGTGTCCCAAAGTTGAATCACCTAGCAATTTTGTTTGAAGTTTTGTGGGTGGAGTTGGAAAGTTCAAGTACAAGTAGTCCTTGCTTATCAACTACCATTCAGAGTTATAATAGCGTTGAATAAGGAGACTTATGATCAGTCCTCAAAGTTGTGGAGAATGATTTTTTTAAAAAAACCTAGATTTTTAGTTAAGATACAGTGAATTGAACATATCTTTTTGATCCTTCTATGAAAGTTGGCATTATATACAAACACCAAATTGTATATTGTACATGTGAATTCAATGTATATTCACTTAGGAGAAAGTCTACCAGCTAAATAGGGAGTGGATTGCAATTATTTAAGTAAATGAAGTGGGACCCCCTTTCCAAATAACAGGTGCACTAATGTTCCCTATCCTGGGGACCCTCCAAAGATAGGAACTAACTCCCAGAATTCCCAGCAATGGCCACACTAGAATTCTGGGAATTGAAGTCCATACATCATACAACTTTGGAAAAGCCTAGTATATAGAGTTAGGACTTGAATTAGCTTGTAAAAGATGGGACATCCAAAAATAAGGCACAACCTTTGAGTAGCCATAACCTAACATTAATATTCAATACATTCAACATATTCCTTCCCTCTTATTATTATTTTTTTTAAAAAATATGGTTGGATGATAAAAGTTGAACGCAGCATATATCTAATTTTTCTTCTCCCTCACTGCATAAAAATTTAAAATTTCTTCTTTTCTGCAGCTGGGCTCTTATCCATTTGGCAATGATCAAACTTGCTCTGAACAATATTAAGAACTTTTTCCCCATTACCGGCTTAGAACTAACTGGTGAGTTGCATTATGCTTTCGATGATCAGATGCGCTTGCTCTATATTTTTCAACCCGAGAAATTAAAAATAATGAATTCAATGGAATGTGTCTACTTCTCCTCGTCACAAATCATATTCGTCCCCAAGGCCCTTCTGAAGACCAAATGAAACTGCAAAGTAGAACAAATGCAAAATAACAGAAAAGACGTTCACTGTAAGATGGGCGGCTGTATAAATGTCTTAAATAAATAAAGCGAGGCAGAGATGTTGGCAGAATTTGAAACTTCCTCAAAAATGAGGTATCCAGAAATGTGCTTGTGTTTTATTTGGGAGAAACAAACCACAAACATGTTCACGTTTCAGAGCTTCCCGTCACATCACCTCTGGGTACCGCTGTGATTAAAAATCTGGAGAATTGGGAACAGATCCTGCAAGAAAGAATGGACCGCTTTGAAGGTCCCCCACCAGATTACATCAATACTTGTTTTCACGAACTGGGGATAGGAGCTGGAGCAGCTGCGGCCCGAATCAAAGCAATGGTTGATCCTGAAAACACACCATTTAAGTAAGAAATGCTTTATTTCAAAGGAGGAGGGGACATCTGAAGTTGGTCTTCCAGATGTGACAAGGCTACCAAGTTCCAGATTTCCTAGCCAAGCTGGCTATGGCCATTTTCTCAGCACAACTGGAAGGGACTTATGGGAGAAATCTGTTCTAAGCTTTGATGGGAATCCATGGCCTCCAAACATTCTTCTCCAGATGTATTAGAATAACTGGAGCTTCTGGAATGTCTGTGGAGAGTCTTAATCATCTAAGGTCATGGTTGTCCCAAAGGTGCTTTTCCAAAAAGGCAACTAAACTTCTATGGAGATTCTCAGTCATCCAGATTATAGTTATCCCAAAGGTGCTTTTTCACGAGGCAACTGGACTTTCTTGTTTTTCTCTGAAGGCGTTTCACTTCGCATCCAAGAAGCTTCTTCAGCTCTGGCTGGATGGTGGGGAATGGAAGGATTTATACTCCTTGCAGACCGTTGGTCATTTGCATTCTTTCAGAGAGTTGTTGAAGTTTATCTGTGTCGTCAGGGTCATCAATTCACTGGAAATAATTGGGTCTGGAGTGGATCCTGCTTGGAACTGCTCCAACTGTTTTGCTTCTCATCCATTGCTTCACTTCAGCTTCAGTTCTTCAGAGGACTACAGAAACTTCTTGGATGAGAAGCAAAACATTTTCCAAGAGGAAAAACCAAGAAAGTCCAGTTGCCTTTTGGGAAAGCACCTTTGTGAGCTTCTAGAACTCCAATGATCATAGTCTTAGATCACTGTGGTCAGTTAGCATGACTTTTGACCCTTCTGTGAGAAGCACGGGGGTCTCAGGAGGGTGCCAGATGGGGAAACATTGCTCTTGGTTGTCCATAACACTTTAACACTCAACTTGCACTAACTTAATTCTTTCTCTAGCAGATGCAAAGACATTATTTAATGAATACAGCTCATTAAAGTCACTGGAAACTCTAATAGCCAATTCTGTTCTGGGAATGCTTAGAATGTACTTGCCAGCTTTGATCGTTTTTGAAAATAGCAACCTTCTTAATCTTGTGCAGCCAGGATTCTGAGTTTTAGGCCTAATTATTTCCAGGGAATTAATGTCACGCTTAGCAGCAGATGACAGCTTCTTAGAAGAGACATTTCCAAAGAGGAAACGGTGTTTTTTACAGGAAAAAAATAAATACAAGACAATCCATTTTAAGAATTTGTGACTGTTTGTAACAGTGATTTTTTTTTCTGATTCCATCTGTTCTTGACCTGATTAAAGAAATAAAATACTTTCCCTTCTTCCCACCAACTCACAGATCAAAAGATTATTCAGCATTGCCAGCTAAGAGATTGTGGCATTTTCTGGTGAAACAAGAATTATTGCAGGATATTTTCATTCGATACACATTCACCAAGAAGAGAAAGCAAAGTGAGGTTAGTGAAAGAAATCCAAGTGTTAAGTTCTGTTTTTCCAGCGACGTTTTGTGTTACTCTTATTTATATCAATTTCTACTCATTTACATTTTGTTTCGGCCATACATTCCATTATATTTTGGGACATAATGCAGCCGTATCCTGGGTCTTCCTTGTTAGATTATAAAAGAGGAAATGGGCTTGAGCATATTTTCCATTAAAAGCATTTATTCTCCCTGGATTTCAATATCTGAGGATCTCTACTTGGCACTGACATCCTATAATTTATTTATTTTTTTAAAAAAAGTATTCCAGCAATCTTCAGAAAGTTTTGTCATGGTTTTGCTCTGTTCCTCCTGTTGCAAATTTTATTTTATTTTTTATTTTTTATTTATATTTGAATTTATATCCCGCCCTTCTCCCGTAGGACTCAGGGCGGCTGACAATCTATTTAAAATACATACAAAACAATACAAATTTAAAATTAATTAAAAAGAATATTAAATATTTGTCGAATTTAAAATATAATTAAAACCCCCCTAAAAATTACCCTAGGCCAGTCCTGCAAGCTGGAATAA